CCCCCCCCCCCCCCCCCGATCTGAAATATAAGCACGTAAATCATTTTTCCTGCAGGCACTAGGATCAGCCGCAGAAACTGTTGGCGTCCTGTCAATCAAATCGCCAGCCAATAAGAAGCTCTTGATTGCATCGTTAGTTATTTTTGTCGTCTTTTTAATTTCTGGTGTTTCCTGGGAATACGTGTACCGACGAGATCACTTTAACCTCTTCAAAACTGCGTCAAGTGAGTTGACTTTTTATTAATCCTGATTAATGGTACTATAAATGCTTTTCGAAGTCACCGTGTTTAACAATTTAGCACCTCCTCCACCCACCTCCCTCTACTGGCTAAACAGCGTCAAGTTTTTACTGAACCTTGTAACACCTCTCTGTTAAGTCCCATCTCGTTCATTTTACATCGCTGAAGAAAATAAGGGAATAGTCTGAGACAAGTTCTAAAAAGTAACAGGGATAATATTTCTCTAGTGTCCGCGGTCAGTCTATTTCACAATTTTCTTTCGCTTGTGCTTGTGAATGCGTTATGTTTAAGATTAAGGTTTTGGATATCGTCAACAAACTCGTTCAGCACTAACACGCCCGTTGTTCCTTTAAATGGGGAACCGAGGGACCAGTTGCATAAACGTAACGTCATACGGAGTAACTAACATCTTGGGTCAAAATAAAGAGTTTGACCGATCTGAACGCGAAACTCTACGTCAGCGCTAACGTCGGACGTTAAGATCTAACTATCTAGATCTATCTGGCTCCAGCACCTAAAAATTTCTCTTGAAACTCACGGTCTCTACGTAATGATAACCAACCTGAAAAGGTCTCGATTGCGGGAGTGTTCAACGGATTCTTCTCATTGGAAGCGCAAGAAATGTACCGAAAATAATAAAGAGATGCTGGGTAGTTACCAGTCCATTTACGCGGGAAAACCGGATATTCCCGATGGAAAATCAAACGGTACGCGCAAATCTGTTTGGGAAGCTTCAGAAAGTATAGGCTGTGATTTAAGGCGGTGCAATTTTTCTACTCTTTTCAGTCTTTTCAGCTGATTTATGGGACAGTTCTCCCACCTCGTCAAAATTTGTAGTTTTATTTTTAATCACAAGATTTGCACCCAGGTGGTTTGTGTAAATGGTAAGCAACCGGTGTCTCTGACTAAGATATAATCTTGACAGGTGACAAGCACACCAGTGGCATACCACTGACCCAACAGCTAACTGAGGTTCAAGAAGCGCTTACGCACCTTCAAGCGCAAGTGCAAAAGATACAAGAGAGCCTGCAGGCAACCAGAGGCATGACTGGTATGATTACCAACGGTCAAAAGGACTTTGACATCTCCATGGAGTCCGAGCTGTGAACCTTTCAACAAGAAACATAAAATTGTATTTTAGCTATGTAGAATATTGGCCATTTTAATGTTGAACGCAAGACTGGGTCGAGGTTTTTTCGGAATTGCACTATAGAAATGTTTTGGGGGCTAGCGCTTCTACTATTGGCCGCGGCTTCGCCGCTCGTGTGTTCGGCCTTCGGCCGAAGATGTGTCGGAGGCCGACACCGAAGCATTTCACTAAACGCGAGAGACAAACCTCTGGTTCCCAGAGTAGTCCATCCCACCTTTAAAAGAAAAGAGTCCCATAGTGGAGTTTAACACTAGACCGATCCCTTCACACAAAACAAGGCTACAATAATTTTGAAAATTGGTCTCACACTCGAAATAATGCAACTTTTAAGAGGTTTTTACATAATATATAGTAATCATCACAATTAAACTCAAGATATAAAACACGCTGTGCTTAACGAAATTATAACCTACCAGATACTAATAACAAAAACTGGTTTCATGGCAACGTATCACTATTGGGTATGGGTAAGAGAACTACCGTTACTTTAGATATTACAGTGTATTAATTATTTTATCCGTAAACATAAAACTTACTAGCCATGAAATTATTGTACGCTTTCAGCTCTAAATTTAGACTGCAAAACAGTCGGTTTTTTTCTCAAAATCAGTACAGAAATCGGTCTTACATCTTACGCGCGCGAAGCGCGAGCCTCACACGCCCGTAGGAGTGTGAGGCGAAAGGAAAAAAATCGAATTTTTAGCGTCTCTCCCCAGTCTCGCTCTCTGTTTTCAGCCTCTTTCCAGACCTTATGTTTGACTGCTCGCGCTTACTTCAATACGCAAAAATATGGACTCTTTTGCAGCCTACTCTAAATTTTCATTGTTCAATTTTATTCTATAAAATATTTTACATTTGGATAAAATTATAGTCATACTTTTTAGTTTAATTATTAATGATAACTGTAGCCTGCGAGTAAGCTCTCCATTTATGGTGAGCGAAGCGAGAAGCGAGAGAACGCGCGAGTGAGTGGCGAAGCCACAAGGGGCACCCTTCGCACCCGCGTCTCCTTTCGCGTGCTGCTCTCACGTGACTTCTCGCAACCTGACTACCCCAAATGGAGAGCCTGCTCGCAGGCTATGATAACCGTCAGCAACATGGTTGCCATGATTTTATACTATTCTACTTTGTTCTGTAATAGTCTCTGTATTGACTGTGAAACTCCGAAACCCGTGAACACCAGAAATACTTGGGAACGTTATGGTGATGCAAGGAAAAATCCATTCAGTTGTGAGAAAGTTAAGCCGCATGAAGCAACGGTAATTTGTTTGTGGTTTTGTAGCGCGCTCTCGTGTCCTGATCTTTGCTCAGTGTGATTGTTATAACATAATACACATTCCTGAATATTCCAGCTGCTCTTGGTTTTCTAAGTTTGACAGTTAGGACACTTATCGTCATCGTCATCGTCATCACCATCATCGCCGTCGCCGTCGCCGTCGTCGTCGCCATCGTCGTCGTC